CTGCTCGTACTGTGGCAGAGCCACGCCGCCGACTAGGGCAACATTGGAACATTGCCTGCTGGTGTGTCCAATGGTCACCCAGATATGGCAATGGTGGGACACGACATTCCACTCCCTCACAGGTTATCACATTCCTTGGGATTTTGGTCTTGTCCTACTCGGCAAAAACCAGCAGCTGCTGGCTCGAAGGTCTCCCTATGCCGCCAACCTCTGGTCCACTGGCCCCCTCTGCACCTCCCCCCACCTCCTGTTCCAATCCTCCCCATCCTCCCTCTCCGTGCCTGCCCTAAACCCTGAAGTCCCCCTCATCATGGGCCGCCCACAGTCTGGTAAGCTGTCCACAGACAATGACGACGACAAGACATCACTAAGCCGCGTGCCAGAAGGTCTATGAGACGTCACTGCCAGCACAAAACGGGAGACTTTACGACTTTGTAACTGCACAGATCCGGGTGTCCGGGTGAACCGGGCAGGTGCTTCGGCTGAAAGGAGATTCCCTGGTGAACATCCATCCTCCTGGGTGGGTGCTTCGCCGGAAAGGAGATTGCCCCGCTACATCACTGACATCTTTGTGTCCTTTTTCGCCCAGCCCCCCCCCCGCCGGTGGAACAGTTGCCGCACGATGTAACTGACCTCGGTGGTATGTTAAAGTGAAGTCTCCGGCCGACGAACAGGTGTGGACTATGGGGACAACAGCCCAGGACTGAAAGTGAGCATTGTAGTGCTTGGTGTGGGCTATGGGGACAACAGCCCAGGTACATTTCAGACCTGGCGATAGGGGACTATGCACCATGCGGACTGTGACCGGTAAACATATGGTGCTGTACCAAGTACATTTCAGACCTGGCGATAGGGGACTATGCACCATCCTGCTTAACTACAGTCCAGACGAGTTATGATGGACTGTGATCTGCGGTCTCTGATCATGAGATGCTAGGCGCTGTAACAACATGTTCAGCTTGGGCTAGTGAGAAGGATCTTGGTGTCGATTATGCATGATAAGTGGCCAACATAACATGAGTGAACACTGGCTCCCTGTCCTGAAATGTTAAGGGACGCTGGACCCGGTTTCCAGTAGGTGCAGCTCCCCACCAATGGAACGGAGCCGTTCGCAGATAGCGGGCGTAGAGGGGGTGTCTGCTCTTATCAGCACCCCCCCCACGCCCGACCGCGATGTTTCCCAAAAAAAAAAAAAAGAATGTGTTCTGAGTACATGCATACTAGCATCAGCACCCCCCCCACGCCCGACCGCGATGTTTCCCAAAAAAAAAAAAAAGAATGTGTTCTGAGTACATGCATACTAGATACGCCAGAGGGGGGACTTGCCTGTCCTCCCGTTGGTATGTATGCCCATCCTCTGTTTCAGGATTTGACTGGATCACCACATCGAGGAGTGGGCAGCTCACAAACTTCTCAATCCCATCTACACCCACCTTGCGTTGAACTCCCCCGTTCAACTGCATCTCTTGCAGACAGGGTTGGAGATCTTCCAAGGCCTCACTAACTCCAGAGATTGCCTTTCACCACGGGATATGGTCCCCCGATGAGTTCGTCGTTCTAGGTGTCTCTGACAGATATCCAGCCTAGTTCGCCTGCCCACTTCTCGATCACCGGGTCTTTACATTCGGTTTCGGTTTCTTACCCACTGCCTCTCCCTTTCTCCCTGAGTTCATCAAAGGCCCAGCGAGCGTGTTGCGTCCCTGACTTCCCGACCATAATGGCCACAGCCAATTCTTTTGTCGCGGTTCCTCAGTGTTAACATAGGTGGAACAGGATGCTCAATTGAATCTCATTAAAGTGCACATTAAACTCCTCGTCCATCGCCAGTAGCGTGCACCAGAGTCACTTTTGTGCATTCAGGAAAAGAAAGACCAATCTTGCCCAAAAGATAGAACACCAGCCAAGGTCACATTTTGCTCCACTAGTACAATTGGTCGCATCTTTTGTTGGTTCCACCTATGGGGCCCTTTTTCTGATTGGTTTGTGAATTGATGCATCCGTTTGATGACTGGATGCAGTCCATCAATCCCCACATACCAGCCAACTGTTTTACATATTATTGTTGTTGTCATCACCATTCATCATTCATTATGTCATCATCATCCATCATCATCATCATCATCATAATCATGAACCCTGTCTTTGCTCATGTCACCCAAGCTTAACTGACAAACTGATGTGATGTCATTTGACTTCGATTTGATTAACTCAGATCGGGAAGTGCTTGTTATCGAAGAAAGAATGTTTCATACCGGAGTCAGAGAACAAGCAGAATGTTTCATACCGGAGTTAAAGAGCACACGCAGCCAAAACCACCACCTGTGTTTATTCAAGCAGGGGGATTCAGTAATCGAAAGGCTAACGATCCCAACAAGTGGCACAAAAAGCGTCACACATATGACACATCGAGAGAGATCAAACACACGCATGCACAAACACCCATACACAGTCAGACAAAACAGTCTGCCGCAGTCATGCTTTTTTTTGTGGAGTTCTCACACATTATGATACACGAGAGAGAGAGAGAGAGAGAGAGAGAGAGAGAGAGAGAGAGAGAGAGAGAGAGAGAGAGAGAGAGAGAGAGAGAGAGAGAGAGAGAGAGNAGAGAGAGAGAGAGAGAGAGAGAGAGAGAGAGAGAGAGAGAGAGAGAGAGAGAGAGAGAGAGAGAGAGAGGATGAAAGCAGACAGGTGGGATAATGATGAAGGATAGCAGCAGCTGTAATTCTCATTATGGTACATGATGATATGATGGCACTTCTACATGGCGCAGACTTGTTGGTTGGCCTACAAATCTCAAATCCTACAAACTTCTGTCCTGCGCATATATGTGCGCACGCCACTCCTGAATTCAGTCCTCACTCGTCTCGCCAATGATACAGGCCAGCGGCCTAGCCATGGCCCATGCTACAAAAGAGGTGATGTCCAACCTCCCCCCCCTTCCCTATCTAGACCAGCACTCCAGTGCAGTGCAACCCACACCCACACTCCATGCACTCCATGCCTTTTCAACGGCCAACTACACACGCCGTTACAGCAGGTCAACGACTCACGAGTGCAGATTTCATGATCTCACATATGGTCTAATCATGGTCATGGCTGTGATGTGGGTGGGGGAAGGTGTTATATATAATAAAAGGGGGAAGTACGATACCATGGTCATGGCAGAGGACAACCCAGCAATTTGTAATGAACACCTGGGAAACCGGAAAGCAGGTAGAGAAGCAATGCGGTGCACAGTCACTTGAAGAAAACGATGATCCCAATCTGCAGCGAGTTACGCCAGTGGCAGAAAGGCAAAATGCCAATGAAATGCCTTCAGCCAATCAATCAATAAGGCAACCGATCTATCTATCTATCTATCTAATATGTATTTACTATTTATCTATCTATCTATTCAGCTAGCCAGTCATCATAGCTAGCTATCTACTATCTACCTAAAACAGGTAGGGCTTAACAAACCCGATGCTATGCTATGCCGTGAAGCATTCACGTTATCAAATCGTCATGTCGTCGTATTCACTGAAGTCACCAACCAGCCTTCTTCATTGTTAATCGTGCAATACAAGAACCAGTTCCGCACTCTCTGCTGACCAAGAAAAGAGTGCTGGAGCAGACCAGCAGTGGGCACATAGTGGTTGTGCGTGTCAAAGCATATAATCATATAGTCGCCCACAGCATCAACAAGCAATGTTCATTGTCGCCAATTCGTCGGTCGATCAGGCGATAAAAAGGCCAGTTTGGTTGCACTAGGGCTGATATGAATGGGCGAACGTGGTGAGGCGAGTAGCAGGCGGGCGGGTAAGCAGAAAGGCAAGTAGCAGCCATGGCACGAAGTATTGGGCTTGGCATCCCCGTCTGGCACGGACTCTGTGAAATGTCTGCGCGCCAGGGCAAAATCCACACGCTCGCTTGCAGGACCGAAGCCGCCAAGTCGTCGGGTCGACCTCCTAGGTGTCTCCTCCTCATTTCTTCTCCAACTACCGCATGGCTTCATCTGCTCTCCTCACCGACAGGAGGGTACCCTTGACCGCCATCCACATGTTATTGATAATGGCTTCATCTGCTCTCCTCACTGACAGGAGGGTAATACAAAAGGCAGCTGGGTCCTTGTTAGTAGAGGGAGAAACTGCCTCTGCCTCCGCCTCTGCCTCTCCTTATCATTACTCCAGTGCGTCCAGTCATCCCTTGCTTGACATGGGATCAAATGCTGAACGTGTCATCCTCTCGAGTGGAGATGCCTCCATGCGCTAGGTCATGAAAAGCGTCAGTGTAGAGCCTGTTGCTTCAAAGTCTGATATCGTCTGCTGATGAATCGCCCTCAGCCTGCCAGCTGGAAAGCCAACTGAGACACCATGATGCCACGTGGCATGAAGGCAATCCTTCCTTCATTATCTGGATCCCAATCCTGCTTGCCTGCCTGGTTAGCCCCAACTGGTCTGGCTTTGAGGTGGTGAGCATCCTCTCTCTCTCTCTCTCTCTCTCTCTCCGTGCATCTCTATATATGATTGCTCTGTATCCTTGCGGATGGAAATGACTATGAAACTTCCCTCGCTGCACAAACAGCTGAAACTAGATCCTGTTTCGCACTGCACAAAGTGTGCATGCAGGGCACCTCATGCTTTCCTTAAGCAGCTGCAACAGTCGGGGGTTGCGGTGACGGTGCAGCAACCCCATTGCTTGTAGCGATGCTGGAAGAAACAGCTGGGGCTTGTCCTGGCTCGAATGCTGAGTTGTGGACTCCCACGGCACGGCCTGACGGGTCGATGTTGTTCTTCAGAGATTCATCCCAGGCAAGCGCCGCTGGAGTGCTGCAAGCCACACTTGGGCCACCGGGGACTGTAGCACGAGAAGAAGCCTGTGGTTACACACACACACACATCATCATCACACGCACACACACACACACACAGACACACACACAGCAACAAACAAACAGAGATGTAGCATCATCAGTGGCAGAGCATATGCCAAGATGAGGTAGGGCTGTAGAAGTAAACTGGTCAGCAACTCCCTTTTCGCTGATGACCAACAGTTTGCATGCATGCTACACAACTTACATGTGATGAGAGAGACACACTCTCAGACACACTGAGAGAGACAGAGAGACAGACACACACACACACACACACACACACACACACAGAGAGAGAGAGAGAGAGAGAGAGAGAGAGAGAGAGAGAGAGAGAGAGAGAGAGAGGGCAACTTACATGTGTGTGTGTGTGTGAGAGAGAGAGAGAGAGGGCAACTTACATGTGTGTGTGTGTGAGAGCGAGCGAGATAGATAGATAGATAGATAGATAGATAGATAGATAGATAGATAGAGAGAGAGAGAGAGAGAGAGAGANAGAGAGAGAGAGAGAGAGAGAGAGAGAGAGAGAGAGAGAGAGAGAGAGAGAGAGAGAGAGAGAGAGAGCAACTTACATGTGGGAAGTGCTTCTCGAAAATCATGCGGTAGAGATAGGCCTCTTTTGTCAAGGGAGTGTTTTCAGGGAAGATGTTCTTTGCATTCGCCATCATCTTGTCAGTGACCTGCAGAAAGCAAACAACTGGTATTTGTCAGCACTGCACTCCTTTCCATAGCTTATTTCTGAAACTCCCGTCTCCATCCATCTCTAACCCATATGTCATGCGTCCGGAGTTTGTTCATACACACCACTACGGTTCCTACCGCCTTCACCCAGAGAGAACACCTGGTTTACTATAGGTGTATTTGTGGCAACTTGCAGTCTAGATACAGAGCTATAATGACTGGGTGTTCTATTTGGGTGACGACAGTAGGGGCAATCCCTGCCCTTCCTTCTAAACTATGAACTGACAATTTCTTTCCACCTCCAAAAATTAAGGTCTTCATTTTGATGTCTTTCTTTTTATTTATTTATTTATTAAATTATTTATTTATTATCTGGGCGTTAAGTGATCTGTATACTCTCTACTAAAACTGGAACGATACAGAGAGTCTGGATCGTTCCAGTTTTAGTAGAGAGTCTAGAGATCACTTAACACCCAGATAATAAATAAATAAATAAATAAATAAATAAATAAATAAATAAATAAGATGATTAGCAGCAAGGTTCCCAACTTCCGACGCAAGGATGATGAAGAATGGGCCCAAATTAAGGAAGAAAATTAAATTATTTTTAAATCGACTTTAATCAAGTGACAGTAGTCTACAATTCTCCCACCCATCTTCTTTACTGAACAGCTCAGCGACCAGAGCCAGGCCACCTGCACTTCCTCGGGCTACCCAGGTGGGCCCGGTCGGGCCCGGTCTGGGAAAGACTCGGTACCAGGGAGTCCCAGGACAAAACTTAAAATTATGAAAACAATGAAAAACATCCAGAGTCCAGACAAAGAAAGCGACTTGAAAGCAAAAGTCGGCCGAGGGTCCCCCGAAAAAAAAATTCATTAAATTGAAAATTTGAAATTTGAAAATACTAAAATAGGATGCTGAATTATGTGAATTCATCTCGCACCCCTTTTATAAGCTGTTTGTAAGGTAAATTAGCTTACAGTTAGCACTCTTCACCCCACCTTTTATGCTGCTTTAAACCCCACCCCCTTTAAACCCCATTCATATTTAACTTAATAATTTAAGCCCCTTTCCCCCCCCCCCCCGCAGAAATGAAAAGACCTCTATATAGTATAAAATTATAAATTGAATAATATTCTCATCCTCGGCCGCACACAGTGATGAACACCTCTATTCGGAAGGTCTGCTCTTCATTATTGCTAAATTAGCATATTGTATTAACATAATTTAATGATAATTAGTAATTACTAATTCACAGTATTTACGACATTGCCTGTCATTATGATATCACCAAATTAATAAATTAGTCGTGTTTTTTAAACTTTTTTTTTCTTTCAATTGTTTTTAGTCTTACATGGTTAGTTACACCACTACTACCTACATCGCCAGGGGTGGTCCCCCGATCTTTTAGGAGGCTGAACAAAACAACATCCGCCGATGAGATTTATCAACGGTGGCCGTCGTCGGACCCAGCCCCTGACCTCTTAGGAGTTTGGAAAAACTTCCCAGTTCTGAGTTTTGAACCAACTTCGGAGAATGGGGCCCCAATTTATTTAACCATATGCCCTTACCTTTGAAGGTGACCCAGGTGCGCACGCTTGAAAACAAGCGCGGCACTGCAGGACGGCACACACACCTATGTGTGTGTGTGTGTGCGTGTGTGTGTGTGTGTGTGTGTGTGTGTGTGTGTGTGTGTGCATGTGCGCTTTTCACACATTGGCAACGTTGAAGTCGGGTGGGTGGGCAGTGACTGAAGCTAACCACATACCCGGGTCTCCGCATGCTCCCTCAGTCCATCAATCCAACTGTAGCCAACACCATCACTGAATTGCTCCTTCTGTCTGTAAAGAATGCTCTGCATTAGGGAGTCGACAAAAAGACACAAAAGAAACGAAAGGGACCACAAGGACGAAAGTTTAGGAAAAATAAAAGCGAAAAAAAAAAAAAAGTAACGACCGAGAAGCATCTGTTAGCAAAGAAAGAAAGTTCAGTTCGCAAAAAAAAATAAAAAAAAAATTAATACCTGAGAAGTATCTGTTAGCAAAAAAAAAAGAAAAAAGAAGTGACAGCTCGCAACTTTGCATCCGAAAAGCACGAGTTTTGAAACCGTCTGTGTGTCTGCTAATGTGATCTGCTGCTCCCGTTTTTTTTTTTTTTGCCTCGGCATTCCTTGCATTTATGTGTGTTTGTATTAACTTTGTACGCATCTGACTTCAGCCAGGAGCAGCTCTGCTCCTGGCTGAAGTCAGATGCGTACAAAGTTAATACAAACACACATAAATGCAAGGAATGCCGAGGCAAAAAAAAAACAAACGGGAGCAGCAGATCACATTAGCAGACACACAGACGGTTAAAAAGAGAGGAGATGTTGACATAAACGACATGTGGGATAAAGGATTCATAACATGCACATTGCGCATGCAACTGCAAGTTCTGCATATCGTGCAAGTTCTTTTTGCAACAACAAAAAAGAAAAAGATAAAAATAGTTACCTTCCTCCGTGAGTCCGTGCAATGATTTTTGTAATTTTATATGAGAAATGAATGAATGGATATAGGATCATAATATCATATAGCTAAGATAATGCACTGGAGACTGTTGAAATACACAGCCAAGTTCGAGCCCAGATGCAACAAGATGATGAACAGAAGTTACAAAACCAAATCGCCAAACAAAAAAAAAAAAAAAAAAACAGAATAAATGGATCCTGCAAACTCCTTTGGGGTCAGCAACTTCCCCTTTACCATTTTCATCAGATGACAACCAAACCCTCCGGAGTCCGAACCTCAACCTTCCTCCATCACTAACGGTGTAAGACTTTGCCTTCACCATATTCACTACAGGCATTGTTTTTTTGTTTTTCCTTCTTTTTTTTTTGGTGGTGGGGGGGGAAGGGGGGGGGGCGCACGCGCACGGGGGGAAGGAGCCACTGGAGTCCAGGGAGGCAAGAGAGGTGAGGGAGGTTAGGATGAATAGAAGGGTGCATCCCACTGTACCCTTGGGAGGTAGGGCTGCTCAACATCATCGAACGCTTTCCGCATCACATACTTCTCAATGCGGCCCTCGCTCTTGCGGATCTGCACAAACGAACAACCAATTAACAACCAATTAACAACCAATTAACAATTAACAACCAATTAACAATTAACAACCAATTAACAACCAATTAACAACCAATCTAAATCCAATTGCCATCCAGTTAACAACCGCTTTAACGACCAATCTACAGCCAATTAACATCCAATCTAAAGTTAATTACCATCCAATTAACAACCGTTTTAACAACCAATTAACAACCATTTTAACAACCAATCAACAACCGTTTTAGCCACCTATTAACAACCATTTTAACGACCGATTAACAACCAATTAACGACCAATTAACAACCGTTTTAAAGACCAATTAACAACCAATTAACAACCGATTAACAACTGTTCTAACGACCAATCTACAGCCAATTAACATCCAATCTACAGCCAATTACCATCCAATTAACAACAAGTTGCTGGCCAATCAACAACCAATTAACCTCCAATCATATCAGTTCGATAAGACACACAAGGCTTAGCTTGTTCTTTGCTTGGTGGCACCCATGCTCAAGTTGCTCTTGCGGATATACACAAAGAACAGTAGTGGCTCAGGCCAAGGATGCAACAAAGGAGACAGACGGGCATCAAACCACCAGTACACCCAAGCCCTGGCAGCCTTGCACTGCACACCAAGCTCTGCCAAACAGCCAGCCTCGCACTTTTTTTTTTTTTTTTTTTTTGGCCTGGCATCACCAGCCATTGTGGTCGAGTAGCCCCGAGCCACGAAAATTTTAGGAGTGAATCCCAAGTAAATGAGTCGTTTGTTTTCTGAAGCTGCCCGAGGCCGTGTACTGCGCAGTCCAACCAATCACAGTAGTTGAAATGACACACTCAGAGAGAGAGAGAGAGAGAGAGAGAGAGAGATAGAGATGCTCACCATCTTCTCTGATGGATCGAAGTTCATCGCCACGTCGAGGAACTCCTTGTCCAAGAAGGGCACGCGGACCTCTAGGCCCCACGCAGATGTCGCCTTGTTTGATCGCAGGCAGTCGTACAGATGCAGCAATTTAATCTGGAAGTGAAAATGGAAGGAAGAAAAAACACCCCACAGACAGCTGATCAGTAGCTTTATCAATCATATATCATCGATCTTCTCCTATTTTAAATTTTTTATCCATCCTGCTTTTGTTATTCCCCTCTTCACTAGTCGCATTTTGACATAACACTGGAGAGCATCATCACCACCCATGCATGCTGCTAATTAATAATTATATATAAGACTTATTATAAGCATTAAATACGCATAAACAGATCATGCATGATACAGACCACCCCCGTTCACCCCTCTGCTACCGGTAGCATTGCAATATCCCGCTGGATTTCGATTGCTTGCGACTCTAGCTCCATGGGATCACTTCTCAAAGACTCGTCGCTTCTGAGATGTCCTTGACTCATCACCAACCTCTGCCTGATAGGTAGGCCTGACTGTGGCTACAGTCGTTATTGTTGCCTTGGTGCCCGATGAGGGCCGTTGGACCATTGCCAGCTTAGATCTGCAGACTTGTACTAGTAGATCTTCGCACGATGCCATTTCCCCTACTTACTGCGACTACTGGCTAAGCATTGTAGCATGCCAAGGGTTGGAATCATTGCAGCAGAGAATGGCAAGCAGGGAGGGTGGGAGGGAGTGAGGGAGGGAGGACTACTAGTCTGCTACTAAAGTATCACAGCATTGGTTTAGGGTAGGAGTCATTGCAGCAGAGAATGGCAGGCAGGGAGGGAGGGAGGAAGAAAGGGAGGAAGGGAACGAGGGTGGTTGTGTGGAGGGAAATAACAGTGACGGAAGGGAGAAGAGAGTGCCTCTCCCATCAGAGGAGGAGGGAGGGGAGGGGAAGTGGAGGGCCAAGGAGAGGAGAAAGGAGCGAGGAGAGGAGAAAGGAGAAAGGGGAAAGGAGAAGGAGAGGAGAAATCTACCTTCCTGAGCAGAGAGGAGAAAGGGAGGAAGGGAACGAGGGTGGTTGTGTGGAGGGAAATAACAGTGACGGAAGGGAGAAGAGAGTGCCTCTCCCATCAGAGGAGGAGGGAGGGGAGGGGAAGTGGAGGGCCAAGGAGAGGAGAAAGGAGCGAGGAGAGGAGAAAGGAGAAAGGGGAAAGGAGAAGGAGAGGAGAAATCTACCTTCCTGAGCAGAGAGGAGAAAGGAGCGAGGAGAGGAGAAAGGAGAAAGGGGAAAGGAGAAGGAGAGGAGAAATCTACCTTCCTGAGCAGCTCTTTGTGGAATTCCTCCTTGTTTGGTGCCTTATGGAAGTAGAGATAGCTGCATCAATCAGGTGCCCACCATTGCGAACATCAAGAGCAAATTGTTAAGATTTGAAAGAACCAAGAGATTTCCAGGGAGCAATGGGCCTACCTCAGTCGGTACACCTGTAAACTGTTGAGAGAGAGCTGCATCATTCCCAACATCACAAGCGAGAGAGAGAGAGAGAGAGAGAGAGAGAGAGAGAGAGAGAAATGTAGCCTGTTCTGAATCTCAAAAGAATCTCGTCTTATTCAAATTCACTATACTTTGGTTAATCACATGGGCACGTATAAAGTTGCTACTAAACGTCGTATCTTTGCATGCGTCAGTTTGGATTGTTCTCTGCAACTCCAGAAAATCAAAATTGGAATTACAAAACATGTGATTGCGGATCAGCATGCCGTGGTGAATATTACATGCTCATGCGTTGTACACGCCGCGCATCACACCGTAAGGATCTGTTTGTCCGAACACCTCTCAGAGTCTACGATCAACCAATGACTAGCAATTTCGAAATTTTTCCGTTTGAGACAAAATCGATTGAACTCGGCAAAAGCATGAATTTCAACCGGACAGATCCAAGTAAAGAAGTTTTACGGCAGAGTTATAATGACTGTCGGACGCTTGTGCTTGTTGTTCGGCATCTTTAATGAGCCATTTTTTTGAGGTACTAATTCCGTTAGGAAATTCCTGTTTTAGTTCCATATTCAAATCCTAGTTCTTTCAGTCTACCTAGTATATGGGCTGTATAAGTAGATCCGAAATGAGMTACTAGTCTTCCAATTAATTGCTTGATTGTTCCTTTGTCTATAATTTGGTTAGCAAAGCAGAACAGGTAGGCAGGGAGAGAGAAGGGAAGATACGCCAGTCTCCAGAGACGGGGGGATTCCGAAGCAGAAACACAGAAACAGATAGTCAGACAACAGACAAGTGGTTAACAGAGACCCCCAATTCCAGGCCCTGACTAAAGGGGTCCAACAATGAAATTAGGGTTTGGGCCCTCTGGGGGTGGGTCAAATTTTGTGGCTCTTTTTTGGGTTCAAGGTTGCTAACTTGCTGTCACTGCTGTGTGCCAAATTTGGTGTCATTTGGAGCACTGGAATTTCCTCTGCTGAGATGTCTGAAATAGTCTAAAGATTTCTGAATACGGTTTTTGAGTTTGTTTTCTTTTTTCTCTGTTTGTTAAGGACTAAATAGTCAGTATCATCTCCCCTCTATGAATTGGTGGCAAGTTTGGTTAAAATCACCCTAAGCTTGGGTTTTGTTTTAAATGGCATGATGACATCTTGGACAAGTTGTCTTCAATTTTGGGCCTCTGTTTAGCTAAACCTGCTCTCGCACCGACGAGTGAGTGGGAGGAGTCGGAGGACAATGGGATAAGATCATATAATGGAGAGAGGCACAACGAGATGGGCCAGGGAGGGACACGCTGGGACAAAAAATTGCAGAGTGTCAAGCAGTCCTTCCACTCCCAACAGAGCAATTTTGGCTTAGTGAACAAGCTGGTTTAGCCTGGAAAATCGTACATACCCTCCAAAAACTTCATCGGATCCCTCGCCGGAGAGAACCATCTTCACACCCTGCGCCTTTATCTTCCTGGCCATCAGGAACATGGGCGTGCTGGCTCGAATGGTGACGACATCATACGTCTCGATGTGATAGATCACATCAGACAGCGCATCGATACCCTCCTGCAAATTAAAAAAAAAAAAAAAAAAAAAGCACACGTCAAAATTTTATTTACTAATTGGTAAAAAAAAAATTACCCCCCCCAAAAAATCATAATCCCATCCTAATTTCCATCATCCGCATCTATAATTGGCATGGATTTCGAAATTTTATTTTTAGTATTTTTTACTACTTTACTAAAATTTTAAAATTAGTAAACAAGCCAAAATGACATAATTCCAATTTTGTCATTTATCCGTACCCTCTCTCTCCCATCGGCACCAGGAGCAGATCTGTTCTTTTTCCCCAAAAGAAATTTAACTTATTTAAGAATTTTTTTATTCAATTATTAGGGCCCACTGCCCAAGGCATTATGCAAATGAACAGATTGTCAATGTCTTCTCTGAAAAAAAGACCTTCGAAATTTTAAATGTTGTTTCCAACAGAAATAACTCGTCGTGCCTCGTCGTATCTGTGTGTAACATACAGCGGCATGATGCCGGCATCACTATTTCAAACTGACTGCCCATAGATTTTTTGTTGTTGTATATCTCTATTCTCTAGAAAGTTCAATGATTTTCAGAGAGACAATAAAAAAATCTGATTCACCAACGACATCCTGCTGGACAACAGCAATGCCTCGGCAATTGTCATTATTATTATTATTATTATTATTATATTATATTATAAATTTATAATAATATTATTATTTATATATATTATATTAATTTATTATTATCATTATTATTATTATTATTATTATTGTACGATGATGATGATAATGATGATTTATTATTATTATTTCCTTTTGAATTCTACAACCTAGCATTGTACATTTAGCATGCATTGCGGCGCTGCTCAGCCCTGATACGCCAAACTTTCACACTTTACAAAGCCTGCACTGAATGTGCAATGTCTGAATTTCATCCAGAATTCAGACGAGATTCAAGGGTGCTTTGCTTTTCTGCTTCCCAGAATTTCCATGATTTCTTAAAGTTTTCAGAATCTTCGGGCCGCTTATTTGAATTCTGCAGTCTTGATTACCTCCTTGCACCAAAAAGAGCCAACCCGCTGATGACAAAGCAATCGACAAAATGAAATAAAAGACAGACTGAAGAAGTTTAACAAACCTGAACTGTGAAGTGGAGCTCGTTGTGCAACGTCCCGATATGTTCGGCGACCTCTCTTGCTGCCTTCAAGTCTGGCGAACCCTGTACACACACAAGGAGTACACGGCGGCGGCCACCACAGTCATGCACAACCCACCAGCAGACACGACACGACTTTGTCAGCTGCAGCTGCTTTTTTGTCTTCATGTGTGTGTGTGTGTGTGTGGGGGGGGGGGGGGGAGGAGGGGGTGAGTTTTTTAAACTTTTTTCCAAAGCTGTAACAATGGAGACAACATAGCCAAAAAGCAGCACATCAGGATTCACACACCCAGACGCAGCAAATCTCACAAGCACGGTGAAAAGCCTGGAGCAGATATTCTTAGTACTCCCAAGTTTATTTATTAGAAATATATATATATATTTTTTATTGTTAATTTCTACATACAATTACATCTTCATTTCACTATATGTGGTCATAAAGTGCAATTTCGTGAATCAAATAATGAAACATTAAGTTAAAAGTTAAAACTGTTAAATTGTATACATTAAATGAAGATAATTTTAAATAACTAATATTCCGACCAGGGAATCCAGTGGTCTACTGTAACATCTCTGGTGGCAGGCGTCAAGCATGACCAGAGGAAGGTGCACGAGGGCAATGGGGGATTGAACCCACGACGTCCTGAATGCCCCTTGCGTGCCTTAACCAACTGAGCTAGGCAGAGTCTGCTGATGTTCGTAGGTGAGGGGACCACCACCTGAGGGGAGGCATAGGGGTTGGTCCTGTTGGCATGGTCCCTGATGCTACCGGCTGTCCCCTAGCCGCTATCGCCCAGTGGCACCTGCAGATCAGGAGCCAGCCCCTGCATGTTCTCTCGTAAACATGGTTCTGGCTGCCACGGGGCTCCCCGTGTGGCTAGAGTAGTAGGGGTAGGTAGGTAGCGTGAGGCAAAATTGAGAGAAGACATGCAGTCTGTCGCCAGAGTCCAAACACAAATTATAACTCGATATTTACTCTTTACTCTTTTGTGAATTCTATTTTTTTTATCGGCACAGATTCTGCAGCAGCTGATGACAAACACAACTTTAAAAGACATGCAGTCAGCCTCCACGTGGCAAACGTTTCGCTCCTACTCGATCACCCACTCACTCGCCCACCCACTCACCCTCCCACTCACCCACCCACCAACTCACCCACTCCCCACCCACTCACCCACCCACTCACCCACTCACCCACTCACCCACCCTCAGACCAATTGTTAAACTCACCCACCCACCCACCCACCCACCCGCACCAGCCACTCAGTGGCACTCACCCACCTTCAGGCCAATTGTGAAGGAGTGCAGTTGATGTCCCCACTTGTCACCAACGCTGGACTCCCTGATATGCCGAGCCGCCACAGCAGACACCAACGAGGAATCTAGACCGCCAGATAGAAGCAATCCGAAGGGCACATCTGTCATCAACCGCTTGACAACAGCCTGCAAGCCAGATACACCACAAGCCCACCAAAAAAATACACACATGCAAGCCAGATACACCACAAGCCCACCAAAAAAAACACACACAAGCCAAACAAAAAAAGGGCGAGATGAGAGAAACGTTAAAACTTGAAAAAAGTGGAAGGCCGGAGAAAAGTTGGGAACTTGAAAAAGCTGAAAGGTACTTACTATTAGTTAATAACAGCAAAATGAGTTTAAATGACAGACAAAGGCGAAGGATGACAGTGAGGAAAATTTAAGAAGCTCTGACTCAGATATGATATGAAGAACGTCAATGTCAACGTTTAATTACAAAAGCAGAAACGGTACACGTTCCATACAACCCTTCACCTACATGTACATTTATAATTTTATAGGCAAACAGAACAGTGCCGTAAACCACAGCCAGAGCGTGCTATATATATAATATATTATTATTATTATTATTATTATTATTATTTTTTATATATTATAACGTATATATATATGTGTGAACCGACAGTCTGTAGAGTTTTCCATCTGGTGTGGGTGAGTGATAGTCTACTTTGATTTTGGTTAAGGTAGATTATCATTTACAGTGTAATCAGTCAGGGGATTCTGCAGACTGTTGAGGGTTCAGCCTCCTGATGANTTAGCCTCTTGATGAATCGGTGAAACTCCGACGAAACAGTTTGCCACAGCCCCTTGTTTGTTGTCCTCTTCTCCCTCTCCGCCTACGGTTTACCGGGCAGCTCTGTTTGTCTATATATATGTATATAAATATATATATATGAGTCGGTGAAACTCCGACGAAACAGTTTGTCACAGCCCCTCGTTTGTTGTCCTCTTCTCTCTCTCTGCCTACGGTTTACCAGGCAGTTCTGTTTGTGACGATATATATATACATTGTCACACTATATACATATATATTGACGATATACATCATCAAACAGAGCTGCCCGGTAAACCATAGGCAGAGAGGGACAAAAGTGAGAAGAGGACAACAAACGAGGGCCTGTGACAAAAAACTGTTTCGTCTGAGTTTTACCAACAGACTCATCATATAATAAATATATCAGTCTTCCGCTCTGAGGGCGCACTTCTGACTGAGCTTTGGACGTGATTACAGTCTGATACATTCAGGTCAGGCCGCAATTGCAGTCTGATACATGTAGGAAAGTGCTAGTGTAAGTATGACCTGCGAAAGCTTTCTACTTGTGTGCCGCTGATGTATGATGATGCACTTCGCATTGGTAATAAATTTACTAATTTATTGATTTTTTTTTTTTTCCATCACACTTTGTTTTGTGAGGAGAATAGTTCCAATGGTAGAACAATGGTCTCCAAAACCATAGGTTAAGGGTTCGAATCCCTTCAATGGCATGGCATCACATGGATGTTCAGTTTTGCATTGCAAAATTGCGATTCCTATAGTACATATACATTTATATATGATTTCATATTATAATGATTTAGAATTTTAGATATTTGAAGTATTTAATAGGCTATACTCTCATGTTGAACCCATGATCCCTATCTGGCTTTAAATTTGAGTTTTCCATCTATTTTACATCCAGCTTCTCAATCTGAAACTTCGTCCCGGCCTTGTTTCTTGCATTCCTCCCCCCTCCCCCCTCCCTCTCCCTCTTTTTTTCCTTCGAAGGAAAGAACAGGGTCTCCTTTCACTCACCTTGGTGAACGCCTTTCGGATAGCCATGTAGTCGAGGGGTGCTGTCGGGATGTACTTCTCATTCCACCACGGAGGGTTGAAGTATGGCCGGAGTACACCTGTTGTGAGGGCACACACGCCAGCAGACAAAGACATATTAGACAGACACACACACACAGACACACAGGCACACACACACACACACACACACACACACAGAGAGAGAGAGATGTGACAGCCGTCAGAAATGCATTATGTCAGCTCAGGTGCCACCACGTCCTATTTTTCCCATGAACTCTCAAGTTCCAGGACCTGGTGGGGACAAAAAGACCCAGGTTCAGCCCCGGCCTCTTTCAGGACCGACGTGTTCTCTGCGTCGGTATTTCCGGAGTTGCCGGCATGGTAGGGGCACGGAGGAGGGTGTGAGGTGGAAGGAGTGTGGGGTAAGACAGGTGGTAACCCCCTGAGGATGACTGTGCGGCGGCAGTCGAAACCAGCATCGGGGAGCCGTTTCTGATTATTCTAAGTACTTTGTCGTATATTTTCCGTCTACATTTGGCATCTGCCAACGTGTGACTTGTGTGCTTCTGTAAGTTGTGCCTAATCATCATTACATCAGCCCCAGAGTAACATAGTTACTGTCTGGAAGAGAAAAAAGGTTAAAAATAATCTGTGAAAAAATGTTAAAAAAGAATCACTGCTGTCACCGATGATGTACCTAGACCGATGTACCTAGACCTGAACCTGGAGCTTATTCCCACCTACAACTTGAGAGAGATCGTGCCACTGGCAACAGGGTGCGACACAAAATTATTCAAATCAAATAATTTATTACCAAACGGGGGAAAAATAAAAAACAGCAAACGGACTTTTAATGGAGTAAGCAAAAACTGCCATTCGACCTCCGGGACATCCATTAAAATGAGAACGATACACATAAAATTTAGCATGGCCTCTGACAGTGTGCAAAGATGACACGCATAAATTGAGGGGGAAAAAAAAGAAAAAACCTACCATCGGCTTGGAAGAGTATAGTTGCCTGGCGCAAATCGACGATCAGCAAAAAGAAGAATGTTAAATAAAGGGGAAGAATTAAACTGCGGCTGGCAAATCCAAGCGCGCGCCGACCCCATTAGTTCCAATAAATTACAAAAACTTGAACAGACAAAGTCACAAAGGTGAATCATCAAAAATAAATTTTGAGCAGATCACAGGGGGGCCAGTGGCACCAGTGCACCACAGTGGACCCAGCTTGCCAGGTGGACCCTGTGGGCCCGATGGGGTCACTGGGTGTCACAGGCCCATGGCGCCCATCGGGGCAAGCTGACCCTGTGGGGCCAGTGGGCCCACTGGCGCAAGTGGCACCACTGCACCCAGCAGGCTCAGCTGAGACCCAGTGAGCCCAATGGGGCCCAAGGAAGCGCTCAGGTGGGCCACTGGAACCCGTGGCAGCTGGGCCCACCTGGCCCAGTGGATGCAGTGGGCCCGATGGGGACATTTGACCACTGGGTGCCATGGGCACATGGCACCCATTGGCTCAGCTGACCCAGTGGACCCAAGTGGACCCTTTGGGCCCATGTCACCCATGGGCCCAGCTGACCCAGTGGACCCAAGTGGGCCCACCCATTGGCCATCTGATGCAGTGCACCCGAGTGGGCCCATTGGGCCCATGGCCCCCAGTGGGGCTAGTTGGGGACTATATGGACCTCTTTTTTTCCCCCTTCTCGGGAACTGCATTGATTCTGAGAACATGGGCACTGAACCGGGCCCCCTTCCCTAAAGGGCCTAAAGTTCCTAAACCCTTCGGCCGTTCAGTGTTCGAATAAAAGGGAAGCTGAATACCCTTCCAGGGAATCTCGGCCGTTCGGGTAAAAATAGATCCAGTGTCTTTCAACCATAATAGTATTATATCTGTTCTGCCAAACAGCTGAATATCCTTTTTTTTTTCCTTCCCCCCCCCCCCCCCTCCTCCCCCTGAACCGGGCCCAGTGCCCATTGCCCAAGGCTTAAATTGAATATCTTTTTTTATCTGTGGTCAATCGGGCCAGTCAACAAATGGAACAAAAGTTCAAAACACAAGGAATAAAAAGGAGCAAAAGAAACAAACCCAAAAAAGGGAAGCTGGGGCCTCGAATCTCAATGTCTGACCGAAAATGGGGGAAACATAATTTCGAGGGGGTAAGGGACTGGAATTGATTAAAAAAAAACGGCTAAAAAAAAAAAAAAAAAAAAAAAAAGAAGACGGCAGGATGG